TGTCCACCTGTTGGGGGTTGAAGGAGGTTGAAGTGTGTGACTTAAGCTTCAGATAAAGCTCTTAATTTCTTGGGGAGAGGGCTTAGTGTAAAACTCCACCGCTGGGTGTGGCCTGTCCCCCACCCTCATCTTACAAGGGGCCCCCACTCCAGGCTTGCAGCTTAACCACACATTGGCGTGTCAGTAAGAATGACATGACTTTTATTGGGGTCAGGGGCTTGGGGTGCCCTGTCAGATGATCAGAACATTAAAAAATAATTCAATGTAAAATAACCTTTCAGAACCCTCCAGGACAACAGTGCAGTCCACTCACCAAGCCCTCACACCCTGCTGTGCCCATTCTACATGCCTGAGGTCAGTTCTTGCCAGGCACCGCCCACCCCCCACCCCCAGGGTGCTGGCCTGCCCTGCTGGCCCCAGGGGACAACCCCACCAGGCCCAGAGGGTCTTTTTTTTTTTTTTTTTTTTTTTTTTAAGGCAGTCAAAAGTTGTAGCCTGGTTAGATGCCTGATGCCAGCTCCTAGGGCCATCAGGCAGCAGCAGTCTTGGAACCTGACCCACGTTTGTGAGGTCAGGCCTTCCCAGCTCAGGCCCTCACCTCTGCCCTGAGCCAGGAGAGACCCTGTGTCGGAGCTGGATACAAAGTGCAAAAAAACTCCACTCTTCCTGCATGCGTTAAAAAGGTTCGGTGAAAAGAGCCTTGGCGTCCACCCCTCCTGCCCTTCCAAGTCCTTGTGGCACGTCAGGGTCTTGCCCCCAACCCCAGCTCCTGCAGGCAGCGATCATGTCTGAGACCTTATTGCTGTGCTGGGGCCTGGACCTGGGGGATGGCCAGTGTGTCCTGTCCTCCAGCAGGGCCTGAGAGACTCTGGGTCAGGCAGGAGAGACACCAGCTGGGTTGTCCGACTGGTTCCAACTGCCAGCTTTACCAGTGCAGCATTTATTTTAAAATTAAATTAAATTAAATTAAAAAAAAAAAGGAGAACAAATTGCATCACCAGGTAGTTTTCTTGATTAAGGATGCAGCCTGACCAGGGTGAACCACGACCAGTGGCAGCAGCGTTACACAGGACCATTTAAGGCAGCTCCTTCTGGTGGGGCGTCAGTCTTCCTGCAGAGATGGGGGCAGGGCTGGAGGTACTTGGGGCCTGCAGAGCCTGTCCTTCCCCACCCTGTGCCATGCCCCACCTTCTCACCTGTCTTTTGTTGCTGTCGCCATGGTGGCCACTGTGGCTGGGGCTGCTGTGGGGACCACCATGGTGGGCCCTGGGGGCACTGACACAGCCACTGCAGGAGAGACCACTGGAGCAGCCATGGGAGGACTTGCTTTGTCGAGTACTGTGGCCGCCACAGTGGCCTTGGGAGGTGTGGCCACAGTTGGGGTGGAGGTTGCTTCTGAGGGCTCGAGGCTGGCAGGCCCCAGCGGTGTGCTGTCGGCACACTTGGCTCTGTGGCAGGCAGATGGGCTCCAGTTATGGGTGCCCCCTCCACTCACCAGTGCTGCCCAGCTTCATGCACCCAAGGATCAGCAGGGTGGACCTCTCTAGAAAGTGGCCTGGGATCATGGCCCTCAGCCCCCTCCCACTCCTGACTCAGTTGGGTGGCCCAGCCAGTCAGCTCTGATGCCCCGTTTCCAAATAGTGATCTCCACCCTCCTTCAAGCAGCACTCAGACCTGCTAATTATTAAGTGTCTTGTTTTCCCAGAGCCCTGGATGCCTCTGCTACATGATTTTAACTACAGACTTACACTGGGCTGGGGGTGGGGCAAGGGAACCACCCCAGGGCCGGAGGAGAAAGGGTCCTGCTGGGCTTTGAGGAAACCTACTCTGGGGAGGTCTAACAGCCCCTCAAGGTCTGGGCAGGCCTCCTGCAGGCTCAGGGCATGGGGCATCTGACCCAGGGAGGGGCACTGGTGGGGTGGGGGAAGCTCCCCTCCTGCAGTAGTACAGCTGGATGGTAAGCTCTGTGCAGATGGCCACAGGAAAGGGCTGACTGCACCGGACACCTGCATTCCACAGCAGATTTAAATGCTTTTTAAGAAAGCATTTAGGAAAAGAATTAAAAATTTAAGAATTTCAGTGATTGATTTTAAACTTTTAAGAAGGAATTAAAGTCAGGCTTTCCTGTGCCTTGCTGCAAGGCCCCAGAGGGCAGGGTATGGGCCCAGGGGTTCTGTGAGCCTTGGCTGTACACTCAGCTAGGGAGTGAGCTGTAAGCACAGAGCTACAGGGCTGATGGGATGGCTGGGGGAAACATCCCAAGCCCACCACCACAGGAGTCCCAGACACTAGGAAGCAGCGGGACGGGTGGGATGGGGCAGGCTGGGATCCAGGGCCTAATGTCCAGGCACACTGGTGAGGTGCTTGGGCAGTCAAGCCACAACAAGAAGACCCAAGTAGCTCACTGGTGCCACTGCCATCGATGCCAAGTTTTTCACCCAGGTGCAGAGCATCATGAGTCTGCATCTTGTCCCCTCCTGTGGGATCTAACCCCAGGGTCATCCCTGCCTTGACCTTTGCACAGAGGTGGCCCATTTCCAGCTTCCCACAGTTCCTTATGTTCACACACCCCCAATCCTCTGCCCAAAGGCCAGCAGGGGCTGTTGGCTGGTGGATTCCAATAACCTTGTGAGGGCAAATGCATGGGGCTGGGCTTGCTGGAGGGGGCCAATGGGCTGCTGGCCTCTTTGCAAAGAGGACATCCTTGTCCCTTTCCTCCAGGAAGGGCCGACTTGCCAGCACCTCCCAGTCAGGGCTCCACCACCCCAAGTGCAGTCCTGAGATGGCCCATGTTATTGAGCATCCATGCCCCCACCTGAGGCGGGCATGCATCCAAGAGTCCGCACAGGACGGCCCAGGAGTGGGCAGCAGGCAAGGTCTGATTGCAGACACATTTGCCTGCAGCAAGTTAAAAACTGCATGTCTCCCTCCTGCCTCCCTCGATCTGAGACAACCGGAGTATTCTCTGCAACTGAGGTTTCTGGGACATCCAGGCCCTGTCTTAACCACACAGCAAATGGACTCTATGTAAGAGAGAGAAAGAGGTCCTCTGCCCTCTGTCCAGCCTCCATGTCAATGTTGGGTGCTGCTCCTCTAGAGCCGGCCCCTTGGCCTGCCCCCGCGCTCGCTCCCAGGGGAGCCAACAGCTGGTAACCAAGAAGCCTGGTGACCATCCTGGATGCCATCCAGTGAGCACCAAGGCCCAGGCAGACCTGCCGTCCCCTACACACCTGCCAACAGCAGCTGCCTCTGTCCTGGGTGGCAGGAATCCCTCTCGGCCTGGGCCTGTGCTCACAGTTCCCATGGTGCCAGCCACCTTCTGCTCGTCCTCACCATCGGAGGTCACCAGGGGGGCCTTCCCGGTGACACACACGTTCCAGGCACAAGGGGAGGCAGGACCAGCTACAAAGCAAGGAGGCTGCTGTGACCATGAGGCTGGGGCCACAAGGCCTACTGGGCACAGGTGGCAGAGGCATCTGGCGTGGCCCCAGTGCTTTACCCGTATGTGTGTGTCCTGCAAGGGTCTGTGTGCACAGGAACCGCCTGCACTGCTGTGTGCCCCCACGTGGACTGTCCCCCACCCTCTAAGTCAGGGTGGATGTGAGACTCAGGGAGGGTCCCATTCAGCCTCAGTTGGTTCTGCCACCATGTCATTCAAGCCTGCACACAGGACAGAAGTACCAGGCAGTGCCTGCCTCTGCCTGAAGTTCTCAGGCATCTTCTCAGGGAGCTTTTGGGTTTATCCTACCAGAGGAAGAAGGAATGGGGCCAAGGTCTCAGATCAGGCTCCAGGTTGTCTTCCTGCCCTGGCCTAGCCACATGCTGCTTCATGCCAGGACCCCAAAGTTGCTGCCTAAGGTGCACATCTGGATCATGCAGACTGTACAGACAGATCTGGGTGTGGGGGAAGCCCAGGGGCCTAACTGCTCCAGCAGGGGCTGTCCACTGGTGGATTCCAATGACCTTGTGAGGGCAAATGCATGGGGCTGGGCTTGCTGGAGGGGCCAGTGAGCTGCTGGCCTCCTTGCAAAGAGGACATCCTTGTCCCTTTACTCCAGAGAGGGCTGCTCGTTGCCCTCACCATCAGAGGTCACGACGGGGCCTTCCCGGTGACACACACGTTCCAGGCACAAGGGGAGGCAAGTACCTCCATGTGCACATGGCAGTGTTGACCCCACAAGTTTATCACCACTGAGATAGGGCCTTGGACACTGCCACCCACTGCCCCACAGTGAGGCCGCCCTGGCTCAGCCTGGGGTGCTGCTGATTCTACTCACAGGATGTCCCTGGGTCTGGGCTCTGGCCTGCCTCCACATGGCTATGGTCCACATCCACAGGACTGCTGCACCTGGGCCCTGACTCGGAGCTGCAAATGAAGACGAGGACAGGCTGAGTCCTTGAGGTCAGCCACACCCTGACCTCCAAAGGCAGTTCTTGGCATGACCCCACACTCTGATGTGTTCATTACCAGCAGAAAGGCTGGAAGTCGGTGAACTTGGCCCAGCCCTTCTCCTCTGGAGTGGAGGTGCTGGCTGCCCACACACTGGAACCCACGTCCTTCACAGCTCTGGGGGCTGGGGTCGTCGGGTTCCCTGGCTCATCAAACACTGCTGTCCATGCAGCACCTGCTGGAGAGAGTCACAGTGTGGTCAGACACAGGCAGGCCATGTCTGCACCAGGGGCTCCCCAGGGTTTGGAAGGACAGAGGTGCTCCCAGGAAGGAAACCCTAACCCTGAGCCTTCCCTGCCTGAGGCACATGAGGAAACAGTACTCAGCAGACCCAGGGACCCGGGAGGGACTCTCCACCAGAGAGCAGCTGGCCTCAGGCCCTGGGACACCCCTATGCCTACTGATCTAGTTCTCAGCAGGGCACCTGGAGGACCCTCCAGGGAACCTGATGGGTGCATGGAGGTGACATGGTTGCTCCTATGCTCCATCCACTGTCCCAACCCAGGACAAGACTCAGCGAGGCGTGGCAGGAGCAGGGTACCACTGCCTTATCCCTGGCCTTGGCACAGTGCCTTCTTATCCTGGGTATCCCTGCCTTCAGCCCACTGCCCTTGCTTTTAGTATCCTCAGCTAAGGGGCCAGCACCACCCGACAAGAGTCCTGAGCACCTTGGCAGTGTCCCGGGGGCAGAGGTGAGCACAGGTCCTGAGAGGCGTGTGGGGTTGTGCCACTGAATGTTTCTGAGGTGGTGAATGGGGCTGTGTCCAGACACTGTCCAGACTGCTGGGGAGGACCTTTCCCAACAGACTGGGTGGACACCAGCCCTGCAGATGGGGTCATATGAGCATAACAGAGGGGAAGGCGAGACCACCCAGGCTGTGCAGCATGAGCCAGCCCTCACCCAGGACATCAGGGAAACAGCATGAGTGCATGTACAGCCGGGAACGTGCGGGCTGCGGGCTGTGATGTGCATGCCACAAGCCACACCTGTTCCCAACGCCCTATCCCTGGTGGGCCCCCTGTGCTACCTTCTGAGGCGCTCTCCGACGGGGGACCTCCGTTCTGCGCGGGGGGCAGGAGGATGCCTGCCCTAGGCGCCGTCCTGTCTGCCTCGGAGCCCGCCTTTCTGTCCTGGCCTCCACGCTCCAGGGCGTTCTTTGAGCAGTGTTCTGAGGTGTGGGGGGCCCCAAACCTGGTGGGGGTGACATGGCGTAGTCAGAGAGCTGGTAAATGAGCTCAGGCTGCCCAGCAGGAGCCTGTGTGGCTCCAGTCTCAGAGCCTTCCCGGCCCACCTCCCGACCCCAAACTCTGTGAGAAAGGACAGTGTCCAGCGCAGGCTCACATGCCTGCCCTCATCTTGTGCAGGGCCTGGGGGGCTGGACAGGTCCCGCACCTGGCTCTGGACACCACCTGGGCAGTGCAGCGAGTCTCCTCATCCTCCCAGATGTCCTCCTCCTCATCGTCATCAAAAGGCTGGATGCGGTCACTACAGCAGGCTTCAAACAGAGCTGCGCTGGGCTGCAGGACAGAACAGAGACCAAGCTCTGCGCCCGGGGAAGCCTTGGCCCCACCTGGCTCCCAGAGGGCTGTCTCGCAGGACAGGGGAGCTCTACTCTGGGCTTTATCGAGGGGATCCTCTTCGTCCTGACACAGAGTCACCCACAGCCTCATCACCCAACTCGGGGACTGAGCACAGCCTAAGCTGTCTAGCAGTACGCAGCAGGGCTGCCCACCAATACCAGCAGCCCCTGTCACTCACGCTGTCCTCGTCGGCATCAATGCTGAAGTTGATCTCTGCAATCCTGTCAAATGGGGCGCTGCAAGACAAGGGGCACCCTCAGCACCTCTGCCACTGGCGTTGGTCCAGTGGGTCTGGGTGCCTACAGGGTGGGGGGCGGACAAGGCATAGGGAGCGGAAATCGCACCCACCCACATGCAAGGCCAGGCTCACTTGATGTTGTCATCCTGGTCTGCAAACTCCTCATCATTGAAGCCAAACTGATCCACGAAGTTGGCGGTCATCTGTTGGATCTGGTACTCGGAGAAGGCCTGGGAGGAGGAGAGGCCACTGAGGAGCAGGCCTCGCCCTGGAGGCTGCTCCTTGGAAACCAGAGCAGCCTGGAGCTCAGGAGCCTCTGGCAAAAGCAGGCAGTGCCTCTGGCTGTCTGGGCTTGAGCTGTCCAGAGTCGTCTTGGCCTCGCGCTTCACTCAGGTTCGGCGCCCCCCAGCGGTTGCACCAAACCGATGGGCCTTTGGGGTGCCCCAGACCCACCTCTCCCCCACACGTGCTTGGGGATGAGCCGCCACAACCCTTTACTATGAGGTGCCATCAGGGACTAAGCGCTACCACGGGCACGGGCTCTGGGAAGGGCCCGGCAGGGTGCAGAGTGCCGGCCATGCCCTCACCTGCTGAAGGGACAGCTCGTTAGGGAAAGCACCCTCAACGTCCTCGTCCTCACTCGAGGAGTGAAGGTGGTGAGCGCTCACCTAAAACACAGGCCAGACGGGGTGGGCAAGTGAGCTGCCCGGGCGCCCCAGACCCCGCCCAGCCCAGCCAGGGTCCAGCCTGGCACTTGTCTGCTTTCTGGGCCTAGGAGGCTATGCTGTGAGGGAAGACCAGAGGAGGCTGAGGCCCAGGGCTGCCCAGCTCCTGTGCACTGGTGCACAGCGTGCTCCAGCACAAGGAACCCTTCCAGAGGAGCCTCCGCTCCTGACATGGGAGGGAGGCCTCAGAGGTCAACACAGAAGCCCTGAGGAGCCAGCCTGGTGCGGCAAGGGCGGAGCCTGTGTCACACACAGCAGGCCAGACACCAGGCCACATGCTCATGGTCACACATGGGCACATGCATGTGAGACAAGCAGCTGGGAGCATGTGGCCCAGGTGCAGTGCTGTCCTGGCACCTCCCCCTGCTGCAGGGCAGAGCACCAGGACATCTGTCCTCAGCTGTGGCTGTGCGGCAGCAGCAGCCTGGGCTTCTCACCAGGTCCACGGTGTTCCTGCGGTTGGTCTCCGTCAGCGTCTCCTCTACAAAGCTTTCCCAGCGTCCACGGCAATCTGCAGGGAGCCCTGTAGGGAGAGTGCTGCCTGGTGAGTCCCTGGAACTGTGTGAACAGTGCCAGCACCCAGGTCCAGGACAGCAGGGGCACCCTGGTCCAGGGAGGGATGGGCTGTGCTTCTCTGGCCAGCCCCCGAGAGCTCAAAGCTGGCCTGGGAGGAGGCCAACAGAGCTGTGTGTGGTGTGCGGTCCTGCAGGGCCACGGGCCCAGTGAGCATGGGATGCAGGAACCTCAGCAGGGCAGCCATCACTTTCGGCTGGGAGCCGGCTGGCTGGAGCCTGAGCACACAAACCCTGAGTGGGGTCTGAGAAGGCACGTCTTGGTCTGCACCCCTCCTGGGCTCTGCTCAGCAGTGTCCTACCGGCCTGTATGAGAGTGTGTTTTCCTTGGGAGGTTGAAGCCCCAGGCTTTCATGATCTGAAGACAGTGAGGAATGACAGGCCCAGAGTTTCTCCTCTGCCCCCATCTCCCTTCGTGGCCCCATCCTGGAGAGTGCCTGCCAACACCAAGCCACACCCACCCCATTTGTGTCGCCCTACAGTTGCAGGGGTATCTCCCCAGGCTTGCTGGCCCCTCCCGAGGACCACATATACTCGTCCCATGCTACGGCGGGCCAGCAGGCTCAACCTCACCAGAGGCTACTGCAGTATGATTGAAAGACTACCCCCTCTGGTCCTGGGGGGCAGGGAGCACCACCTGAGCTTTCTCACCTCACACCTTCCCAGGAGGCCAGTCAGGAAAGCCATGAGCAATGCCTCCTTGGCCACCTGTGCTGGGCACACCTAACTCATCTACCTATTACGCCCACGCCCAGTCCTATAGTCCTCCCCAGAACAACCAGACCGCCCAGACTCCTGCCAGCAATTCAGGGTGCTGATTGGAGCTGATGCCCCTCCATGCACATGCCATTCCTGGGCATCTCCAGAGCCACCTCCTAAGCATGCCTCAAGGAAAGTGGGCACATCCCAGTCAACTTTGCTGGGCCCCCTCTCAATGCCCCACCCAGGTTCTCAGTTGTGCCCTCAGGCCGGATGACAAGAGTCCACAGCATGGAGATGTGGATGTGGCCACCGAGTCAGACCCCATGCTCAAGAAAGGCAGGAAGGAACACCTTGGGGGCTGTACCCAAGGGTGATGGGGGCTCTGCTGATCTGCCACCCCTACGGGGCTGGGGCTCCTGCAGGCTCAGTCCCCACCGCCTGCTTCTAGGGAACAGGATGCCACCTGATCCTCTCCCCTGAGACTCAGGCCTGGAAGCCCTCCAAGCCCACAGGACCCGAGCAGAGCTGGAACATGGACAGGAGGTCAGTCGGCAGGGCTCTGACGGCACGTGAGCCCCCAGGTCTGGGCTCCAATACTGGCGGAGCCGAGTGTCCTGACCTCTGCTCAGGAGCTGACAGGCCTCCACAGAGTCTGACCAGAGTGGACTCCTGGGCCCACTCGAGGGAGAACACCGTGAGGAGCTACGAAGACAAAGGTGGTGGCACCACCCATTCTGTATCAGTGCAGATGCCACCTGCTGGGGACAGAGGGCAGAGGGTGGCAGGTGGCAGGCTCACCTCGGATGACCTCACTGATGTGGGTCTGCACAGGCCCCCGCTCCAGGTTCTGCACCACTGCATTGGCGATTCGCGTGAGGTGGCCCATGTTCCCACGCCTCATGCCACCTGCTGCCCTGAAAATGACAGGGACAGTCAGGGTGGCCCCGCAGCGCTGGCCTTGCATGACTCATCACTGGGAGTCCAGCAACAAGGATCTTTTGGAGCTCATCTCCAATGTTACCTCCATCCCAGTCCTTCCAGTCCTCACATCCCCTAGGGTCAGTCCAGGTTGGCCTCCAGGGCATCTGCCTGGCCTGCCCAGTGCCTGAAAGCATCCTCACCTCCAGGACACTGGTGTGGAGAGAACCTGCCACGCCCAGCAGGCCCATCCCATCTCACCACCAGGAGGAGCTGGTGAGACAGACCCTGCTCATTTGGGGCATGAAGACAAGCAGGAAGACCCTAGTGTGGGTCAAGGCCCCCAGAGGCCAGCCGAGCAGGAGCTGAGGTACTGGTGGCCACAGAGCTCAATGGGGCACATGGCTCTGCAAATGCTGCTGCTGCTGGCCTGGGCAGGACCTCCACACCACTCTGACCACATGGCCCTGGCTGGCCTACACACAGGTGTAGACCCCTCCCAACTCCCACGAGCCCCATCCCACATTGCCCAGAGCACACCTGTACCAGCAGGACAAGGAATGTAGGGGTGGCCCTGGGCCCTGGACAACATGCAGGTCATTGCTGCCTGAACTGAAGGAAGATGTGGTTAAGCCAAGATTCTGGTTAGAAATGTGTCCCTGGGTGTGAGTGCCAACAGAGTGCTTGGGCGCTGGGGAGGGTGAGGAGTGGACAAGGGCACGAGTGCACAGAGTCTGGGCAGGGCGGGCTGCGCAGAAGCTGCAGAGATCCGGGGGCCTGGCTGCCACTTTGCCTGCCCCTTCCTGCCACCTGTCACCTCCCTGTGTCCTCCTTTCCAGGCTGCCCTAATGGCTATTTGCCCAGAAGCAAGATCCCTTCCAGGACAGCAGTAGACACAGGGCCATGACACACCCCCTTGACAGCCCGCACCAGGCCTGGAGCTGCCTGCACCCCAGGGAGCTGTGGCTCTGCGCCCCGACCTCCAGGCAGGCCCAGGACGCTTACTGTGCATGGTCATTGGCTTCCCAGGCCTCCAGGATCCTCTGCACCAGGCAGCACTTCTGGAACAGCTGGGGAGGCAGAGGGCAGGCACGTGAGTGGGGGCCTGCAGGGATGCACAGCCCCCTCCCCCCGGTGCTGCAGGCAGCAACAGGACCTGTGGCTGGACACCTCACAGTCCTAACTTCTGTGGTCCCCGCCCAACTGCAGAGGCAGGCGCTGCCCCAGGGTCTCAAGACACCGCCCCCCCCAAGATCAGCAAGAGAAAGGCTCCTCTGGTGCCCTCTGCCTGCCCTCCCATGGGCCTCCCCTGCTGCTCCAGTCCCTTCACTCTGCCCATGGCACCCTCCCTTCTGCTTCCCAGGGTGCAGGAGTGCCTGCCATCTCAGCAGGGCCTCGCCCTGGGCCAGGCCTCCTGACCTGGGCTCCCTGTCGGCCTCCATGGCTACTGGACATTCCACCCCACCAGGCAGCTCTCCTCGCCGGAACTGCCTGCTGCCCACTGGCTGTTTATCCAATGGGCCATCAGCTCTAGGCCAGACTGGACCCTGTGGTCCAGGGCTGGCCCCCAGCCAGCCCTGCTCAAGCCCACCATCTGTGAAGCTTGGTGAGAGACCCAAGGCCCCTTCCCAAGCCTCTGCAGTGTGGCCCAGGGAGCCCACCCTCGCCTCCTGAGCAGGTCCTAGTGGGAACCTAGGCCAGTTGGCTTCCTCCCTCCCTCCCTCCATGGCAAGCGCCAACCAAGGCTCCTCTTTGCCAGGGGTGATTCTGGACGCTGAGAACAGAAAGAGGAGGAGACACAGACTACCCCAGGCCCTGAGCCCCAGGGAAGCTGTGTGAGCAGGGATCCTGTGGGAGGGGGATCCTGTGGGGAGGGGAGCCCGTGGGGAGGGGAGCCCGTGGGGAAGGGGAGCCTTGAGGGGGGGAGTCTGTGAGGAGGGGGAGCCCGTGGGGGAGGGGGAGCCCGTGGGGGAGGGGAGCCCGTGGGGGAGGGGAGCCAGCAGGCTGAACTGGACCATAGGCCTTTCCGGGAGAAGCTGGCACTTGCAGTGTCCTCTTCATTCTGGTCACAGACATGCTGCACTTACACAGGTGGGTCTGCTTCTTGGTGACCTCCCTAGGACCACAGCCCATGGCAGCAAGAGCACGGTGCAAATGCTGCCTTCCCTTGGTTGCCCCTCACTTTCTCTGCTCCCAGTTCTGTGACTTGGGAAACCAAGATGTTTCATCACACATCACTGTCCCTGGGGTCAAGGAGGGTGGCATCTCCTGACTACGAGGGGTTTAGGAACCAATGCACGATAGTCTGGCAGAGGCACCCCACCATGCTGGCACCCACCATCTGGGTAGGGCTCAGCCTGTACTGACAAGCAGGATGCTGGCAGGACTTACATGGGTCACCATTGTGTTCTCAGGGAGTTTGGCGATGGGCTGGTGGGTCTCCAGGCTCCTGTTCCCGTTCCCGCTCCCCTGGGGTGGCTCCACCCTGCTCTGGGATCCTTGGGCTTCTGCCCTCTCCTCCGGGGCAGCGTGGGAGAGAATAGCAGCTATGCATAGCTCCACTTGGAAGTGCAAAAAGTTATTCCAGGTGTACTTAAAAAACAAGTCCTGAGTAAAACAGAGGACAGAGGAGAGTTCTTAGATCCTCTCTGCACAGCTGAGCCACAGAGGTGAAGGGAATCCTCCCAACCTTGGCTCCTGACTTCATGTGGTCTTGCTTCTCTCACTAACTCTGTGAGGAGCTGTCTTGGCCCTTTGCCTCTCCTGCCTAGGATTGTGTGAGTCCCATTGATCTCTGCTCTTACCCAAATAACTGTCTTCTTTCCATTATGAGTTTATTATTTTGTCTTTTAAAATTTTTTTAGTTGCATATGGACACGATACCTTTATTTATTTTTAAATATTTATTTTTTAGTTGTAGGTGGACACAATATCTTTATTTTTATGTGGTGCTGAGGATCAAACCCAGTGTCTCACACATGCTAGGCAAGTGCTCTACCACTGAGCCACAATCACAGTCACTATTTTGTACTTTTTAGAGGCTTAGCTCATTCATTTCCAGTCTTTCCCAGTGTAAGTCTTTGTAAGTTCCTTGCAAAACCTATCTTTACATTTTAAAATTTTCTTTTATAGTTGTAGACGGACAGAACGCCTTCACTTTATTTATTTTCAGGTGATGCTGAGGATCAAACCCAGTGTCTCACACATGTTAGGAAAGTGCTCTGCCACTAAGCTACAGCCCCAGCCCCCTATTATTTTTATTATTTCTCAGATCTAAGAATGTAAAACTTGGGCTGGGGCTGTAGCTCAGTGGCAGAGCGCTTGCCTAGCAAGCAGGAGGCACTGGGTTTGATCCTCAGCACCACAAGAAAACAAATAAGGTGGAGGTATTGTGTCCATCTACAACTAAAAACAAGAATGTGGAAATTTTCTTTATGGTTCTGTCTTTGGCCCACGAGTCCCTGGAAGCATGCTGAGCTCCCAGGAGAAGCTGCATGAATCTCTCTCCTACCAACTGGACTGAAGCCCACGTCCCCATGCCTTAAGGCAGGAGGTTCTGACTTCCTTGAGGTGTCCCTGGGGGACAGAGGCCCCTGAGGGCAGCTGCCTTCCCATGTGCCCATCTCATCTCCCACACACAGTGCTGAGTCAGCCCGAGGGCCTCTCTTCTGCCACCACTGCACCTCACACAGGCCACAGTAGCCTGTCAGCACAGAGGAGGAGGGCGCTGGTGGGGAGAAGGCTGGGTGCAAGTTGTGTTCCAGCCTGAGTGCAGCCCTTTTTCACAGCTGGTGAGGTAGCTGGAGAAGGAGGAAGGAGGCACCACAACCCCCACCCCCACCCCAATCTCACAGAAGCACAGCCCAGGCCTCGGCTTTACCTTCTTTGCTAGGGTGACCTTGAGCCACCTTAGTGGTGCCTGGCCATGTCGCTTCATCTGCGACAGGAACTCAGACCCCAGGGTGGGCCAGGCAGGCCCACATGCAGCTTCATGCAGCTTCTCCTGGGAGCTCAGCATGCTTCCAGGGACTCATCAGCACTACATAAAAATAATTCTACCACAATTTAAGGTGGTAGAATTGTGGTGAATTCTACCACAATTTAAGAATTAGCACCAATCCTTAAACTCTTCAAACACTGAAGAGAAGGGAACACTTTCCAATTAGTTCTAAGGCTGCCCCTTACTTTCTCTGTTCCCAGACAAGGACACGAAAAGAAAACAATAATATTCCTTATGAATACTGATGCAAGTAATAGCAAACTGAATTAACATTATATTAAAAGAATTAGACACCACAACAAAGCAGGACTCATTCCTGGAATGCAAGGGTGTCTCAACACATGGAAATCAGTATGATATTACAGAATGAGAGCAAAAACCAAATGAGCATTTCAATGCATAAAAAAAGAGTATTTGAAAAAATTCAAACCACTCTTAATTTGAAAAACTCAATAAACCAAGCATAGAGGGAAACTTCCTTAACATAATAAAGGTATCTACAAAAAACCGCACAGCTGACATCATACCCAGTGCTGGAAGACGGAAAGCTTCCCTAGATCAGGGAAGAGAAAGGAGACCCATGCTTACCCTCCACTCAACCCAGTGTTGCAAGTTTTGGCCAGAGCAATTTGGCAAGAAAAGGAAATAGAAGGCATCCAAATTGGAAAAGGTAGTAAAATGACCTCTGTTCCCAAGTGGCATATATAACACATGTAACTTTACTTTGTTTATTTTTATGTGGTGCTGAGGATTGAAGTCGGTGCCTCACATGTGCTGGGCGAGTGCTCTGCCCCTGAGCCACAAGCCACAGCCCCTCAAGTGGCATGATCTTATAAGTAGAAAACTCTATAAAGATTCCACAGAAACTATAAGAACAAACAAATTCAGCCAAGTTGTAGAATTCAAAATCACACAAACCACTTCATTTCTCTATAGCAATGAAGCAAAGAAAATCACTTCATGTACAACAGCATCAAAAAGAATAAAATCCTTAAGAATAAATTAACCCAATGACAGGAAACACTGAAAACTGCACTGCAGTACACTGAAAACTTCAAAACACTGCTAGAAGAATTTAAAGAAGACCTAGTGATTATTTCTATATTCTAAAAATTTACTTACAGCACCAGGGATGGAACCCAGTGCCTTGTACATGCTAGGCAAGCGCTCTACCATTGAGCTACCCCAGCCCCAAAGAAGACCTGTTCAAATCAATGAAAGAGCAACTGTGTTCATGGATTGGATGAGTTAATACTGTTGAAAAGACAGCACTATCCAAAGTGATCTACAGATTCAATGCAAGCACTCTAAAACTACCAATAGCAATTTTTTTGAGAAATAAAAAAATATTGCAACTCAAGGTACCTAGAAATAGCCAAAACAATCCTGAGAAAAGAACCAATCCATAGGATGTACACTTTCCAATTTCAAAACTTATTCCAAATCTACAATCATCAAGAGTGAGGCCCTAGAGTGAGGACAGAGATTCAGACCAATTAACAGAACACAGAGCCCAGACGCTGGCCTATGTTCAGTCAGTCCACTCTCAACAAGGTTTCCAAGACCAAGGTTCCAAGGTCCTCATTAATGGGATAAGGACAGTTTTTCCAACAAACAGTGCCAGGAAAACTGGATATCCACGTGGTAAAAAATGAAGTTGGAACCTACCTTATCCCATATGCCACAATTAATTCAAAATGGGTCAAAAATCTAACTCTTTGAAGAAAACTTGGACTGTGATTCCAAGACCAGCCCGGGCAACTCAGCAAGACCATCTCAAAATAAAATAAAAGGACTGGGGATGTAACTAGGGCAGAATGTTCCTGATTCAACCCCAATACCACATGCACACAAATGGATAAAGTGAAAATAAAAGAAAGACAAAGTGAAAATTATTTTAAAGAATGGAAAAGGAAGGTGGGTCTTGAATCAACTCCTCTGACTCTGACCAGGATCTGTCACCACAGTGACCAACAGCTGAATTCTGAGGTGGGCTGGGGGAAGCCCTGGTTCTGGGACTGAGTCTGTAGGAGATCTCTAGGGTCCAGGCCTAGGGTGGGCCAGGCAGGCCCACAGCACCCACTTGGTCAGCGCCCTCCCAGTCAGCACCCCCAGGGGCTCTCTGCAGCAGCACTTGGCTGCCACTGCCTGTCCCCTCTCCTTAGACACCTGTGGCACCCCACAGTCCACCTTCTCCTCACAAGAAGAAGAGCGTCTCTTCTGGGACATCTTCTAAGAGCTACGATCATAGTCCTGTTTGGTCAAGTCAGAGTATGAGAAGGGAGATGAAGGGACTGGACGCCTGCCCCTGCAGGCAGGCACGGGCAGGTCCATGTGGATGGCGGCTCCCCATAAGCCTGAGGTGGAGGCACATCCCTGCTGCTCAGGAGCTCCACTATGGGCTGGGTCAAGGAACCAGCACCTCTTCAGCAGGACTCCTGCCCTGATGGACCCCACTCTGCTGCCCCCAACCCATCGGCAGGTCCAGCGGCGGGGGACACGGGCACGCACAGGCAGGCAGGCAGGCAGAGGAGCCCACTCACCAACAGCAGGTCCATGGTGCTGAGCCGGCAGAGCTCCTGGTGGATGCTGGGCGTGTCGGCGTGCAGCAGAGCGGCCACAAGGCGTGCCCCATGCAGGCGGGCACTGCCCAGGGGCTCCTCCAGGACGCCGACAGTGGTTAGGATCGCCTTCTTCTGTGGATACAGGGCACCACCAGTCAGAGCCTTGTTTTTGTTTTTGTGCTAGGGATGAACCCAAGACCTCTCACACACGCTAGTAAGCAATCTGCCACTGAGCTACACTCCAGCCCTTCTTTAAAAACCAAAAACATGTTCTTAAAATCTCGAGGCAAGTTTCTCAAAGTTGCTCAGGCTTGTCTCCAACTTGCACCCTCCTGCCTCAGCCTCTGAAGCAGCTGGGATTACAGATGCATGCCACCTAGTCCCAAGATGGCCGGCCACCAGCATGGCTCCTGCTGGCTTCCTTTGGGTCACATGCCAACCGCTCAAAGGCCGGGGCCACTGCTCCATGGTGTGGCTCAGGATAGGAAAGAGTAAGGTATGTGTGTGTGTGTGTGTGGGGGGGGCCCTCTGGGGAAGAGCCCACCACTCCTCCAGGCCCATGAAGAGTAAGCAAGGGCTATCGATGGCCAAGCAGCCCAGGGACTCTCATCTGCCAAGCCAAGTGGCATAAGTCAGGGTGTCTGAGAGATGTTCAAGACAGGGTGGCAGCTGCAGCCCCCTCAGGACGCCTTGCCGTGAATGCCCATGGGTTCGCTGGGCCACAGCCTCAGGTGCTGACCAAGACACCTGCGAACACTCTCAGAGGAGACGAGGTAGCAGAGCTGCGGTACTTTGGATGCCCCAGGAAGCCCACGGTGTGCACTGCTGACTTGGCTGAGGAAATGGAACCCCTGCTCTGCCAAGCTCACTTCAAGTAGGTGAGGAAGGGGAGTCACAGGCAGGCCAGGGAGGGTGCTGAGGAAGAGCACTAGGGAAGGGACGGTCGCAGGGCAGGGAGGCAACGGCTGAGGCTGAGGCAGTGAGATCTCTGCTCCTCAGCAGGAGCCTGAGTGAACAAGGGCTCCCCATGACCTGCAGAACCCAAAGCCTGGAGGCTCCTGGCAGGAGGAGGTTGTGAGCTCTCCCGCTCCGGGGGCCTCCCTGGAGGTGGCAGGGCATCCAGAGGTGGGGCCAGGCCTTTGGAAAGCCTGTGTCGGGACCTGCCTAGCAAGGTCTGGGGCGAGGTCTGGGGGGGCACTGTGACAACGCTCACTCTGCTGCTGCCTGTCCCTGTCACTGGGGCCTCTCCTGCATGTCCCCCAGCAGCCGCACACACTGTACCTTTGGCGGGTGGAGCAGCAGCTGGTGGAAGTCCTTCAGGCGAGGCTCGATGCCATGCAGGACACTGCTGCTGACAGCATGTGGCCTTTCCAGTCCCTGAGAAAAGGAGTCCACCAAGCCCTCTGTCCTGTGGGTGAGGACAGCAGATGGAGCCTCACCGACACCCGTGCCCTATGCACAGCGACCCAGCCCAGCCATGTTCCGCTCACCCTCTGTCCCCAAAGAGCTTTGTAATTCTCCCAAAAAGAAATCTCAAGAGTTGACCATCAAGACTTCCAGTCAAGATGTTTGACTGGTCCAAAGAGAAGACAAGGCACCTGGGCCCTCAGGAAATGCTAGGTGACGGCCATGAGACAGAGCTAGGGAGGAAGTACGGGCTGCACGGCACTGCTGCCCCTCGACTGGCCATACTGTCTCTTTTCTTCTCCAAGCAAATTTCTAAGGTATTTATCTAAATACCTTTTCTGATGATAAAAGAAATACTTGATCACTACAGAAAAAAACTAAATGTATAAAGTATAAAAGCAGAGAGGTGGCTGGCTCTTCTGTGAGCCTGAGTTTATACCATCCCTCCCACCAGATGCAGGGCTGGGCTCAGGCCTCCAAAGAGGCCCAGGATTCCTGGATTTGTGAAGATAAATCAATACTCCTACTGTCTTAAGTTGAGAAAACTCTTATGATATCCTAAATTTTGATTTTAGGTAATAAACTAACAACTTCATAGTTAAGAGGTATTGAGGGAGAGACTGCAAAAATCTCACTACAAAGATTAACCAATTTCTTTTCATTTTCCTGTTTTTTTTGCTACCAGGGATTTTGCTACTGAACCATATCCCCAGCCCCCCTTTTTAAAAAAACAACAACAACAACAACAACTTTATTCTATTTTACGTGGTGCTGAGGATCGAACCCAGTGCCTCATACATGCCAGGCAAGCGCTCTGCCTCTGAACCACGACCCCAACCCCCCCACAGCCCCTTTTTATACTTTATTCAGAAACAGGGTCTCACTGAGTTGCTTAGGGCCTTGCTACGTTGCTGAGGCAGGCTTTGAACTCACGACCCTCCCGAGCTGCTGGAGTATAGGTGTGCACCAGCATGCTGGCTCTCCCTTTCTTTTTAAAAAGGCATTGGCTATCAGTGCCAGGGATTAATACAGCTCTTCCCAACATGTGGGGCTAAGAAAAAAGCAGCTGGGCCGGGGTGTGGCTCAGTGGTAGAGCGCTTGCCTAGCATTTGTGAGGCAGAGGGTTCAATCCTCAGCACCACGTAAAAATAAATAAATAAATCTACTAAAAACAAAGCAAAACAAAAGAGCAGTCACTTTGGGAGAGCAGACCATGTGCTAGGGCAGAGCAGGGAGAGTGTCCCAAGACCCAGGTCCACAGACGGTGTTCAGGGGCAGGGGAAGTCCAAGAGGGGTCGTGCCCAGGAACACCAGCACCTGCTGAGCTTCCTGAGGCTGACAAGCTCTCATCTGAGGCTCACGGGGCATCCAAAGATGGTCTCCTCTGCCTGGGTGGCTCTGACAGTACCTGGTCTGCTGGGTCCCATGTGCTCCAGAGAAGTTTCACTCACCTCCTGAAACTTCTACCCAGAGTCCTAGAAAGGTTTCAAGCACCTGAAATCCAAAGGGACTCAACCTTTCACCTAAACTTGCTCTGCTGCCTCCCATCTTGAGCTGGCATTCTCCTGCCCCTGCCTCACCAGGCTTCCAGCAGCTATACTTGAAGACTGTGTGGTGGCCTCCCTCCCCAGAGTCACAGCACAGGGGGGCCTCCACGCAAGTGGCACCTGTCCCCACTCACCCCAGGACAACCCTTGCTGTGAGGGATCGTCTCTGATACATGGGGCCTCTCGGGGACAGCTCCCTGACCAGCAGGCTCCACCATCAGCCCACGCTGACTTCTCCTGGAGGACCCCAGGGCCCAAGCTCGCCTGCCTACTGTACTTGGCATAACACAGCGCTTCTGTACACAAGCTGAGCTCAGGGCCAAACTGGGAGCAGTGAAGGAGAAGAGGCCATGCTTCTGTTATGTTTGTCTCCTAGGGCTCTTGTGCTAGCAACATGGTAGGTGCTGAATGTACCTGGTAAATGAAAGAGGTGCAGGACAGCCCCTGAAATCAAGTGTCTGGTTTAACAGATGGCAGACAGATTAGCTGCTGTGTTCATGGGGTTTAGGAAACAAAGACAAATAGAGTCTCCCTGCCCTGGCACCGCAGGTAAATATAAACAAGCAGCTGTGTGTCAGAGTGGAAGCCCTGTGACAGGTACCACATACACACACACACACACACACACACACACACACACACACACATACACACACGTGCACGCACCCAACATGAGCTGTGGGAACTTGTCAGGACAGTCCTGGGAAAACCACATCTATTCCATACACCTCTGCAAACTGGTGGCAGTGTGTGCCTTCCAACTGCAGGGGACATGCCTGATGGTCAGGGTCAAAGAGGACTTGGCCACAGATGTGAAGTTGACCTTTTTGACCAGGGGCCTCTATCCACACTTTCACTTGTGTAGACAAAAGTTCACAAAACATAAACAGCACAGTGTGACCACTCTGGACAGCCACAGTGGTCACATGGGAGAGCACACACCACTTCTGGGGGAGAGGCTCACCCTGCCCGCCTGGGCTCCAACAGGGCGAGCAGCACCTGTGTCCCACTGACCAGGCAGCTCTCCGTCTGCTCTCCATCAAACATGTTCTTCAGCAGCTGCTCCACACAGTCCTGCCTGTTGGACACACACGAGATCACTGGCTGTCAGAGCAGGGACAGACACTGCAAGGACACTTCCCTCCCGAGAGCTCCCACCTCACCCTGACCCAGCAGGGGCCTCACTCTGGCACCGCTCAGAGGAGACAGTGTGCTCCCTGATCTGGTCGCAGAGGTACACATAAGCAAGCAGCGTGGGCCAGTGGCCCAAGGCTGGCATAGTGCCCCTGCCCACTGGCTCCAGCACTCCTTGGGCCCTCCTCCCTGGGCTTTGAGCCTGAGGTGCTGCATCTGAGCAGGTGGCAGCATTCCTGGTGTTCAGAGTGGGCCCCAAGACATCCCCACAGCTCAGAGCGAGGCCCTCCACACCAGGCCCAGCAGCACTCACGATTCCAATGTTGTGAGGAGGGGATCTGGTTCCAGAGCCTCTGGTAGCTGACTGCTCTGGTCTCTGCCCAGCCTGACAATGTCACAGAGTGCCTGAGAAGCATTTGACTGCCTCTGAAAAGACAGGGAAGCAGTCCTCAGCCTAGGACAGCTGCCAGAAACCAGCCCCTGGCCCCCTACAGGCACCCCTGATGAGTCAGGCCTTCTCTGAGCCAGGTTTCTGCAAAGGCTCACAGACTGTCTGCTGTGCCCACTGTCAAGAGGTAGATCTGGTTAGACTAGGATCTTAGCTGTGCTGAGCCACCCCAGGAATTAAACACAAGCCCCAGATGGGCAAATATGCTACACAGATGTCCTTCCTCAGCTTTGAACCCTGTTCTGCAATATGCTGAATATATGATGATGTTGACGGTTTTGTATTTTAAGTTTAATGAGCCCCCAACCATCCCCTCCTGGAATTTATGCCCTTGTAAATCTGTCTCCTCGAGTGTGGACTGGACCTGGTCACTCAAGCCTAAAGAGAATGCAGCCAGATGAGGGCTGCTCCTGCTGAGATGAGCTGGCCCCTCAGCACGAGCCCCTGTGGCACGGAGCTGAGGGAAGGACAAGGAGCTGAATGCAACCAAGTTCCTCAGACTCTAGACCTGGACCCTGGCGTGCAGCCCGAGGCAATGGCAGTCTTGTGATACCCTGAGCACAGAAGCCACTAGGCGCGGCCAGATCCCTCGCTGCACAAACCAACACTGCTAGAGACAAAAAGTGCTTTTGTAGGGGCTTGGCTGTGGCTCAGTGATGGGCACTTGCCTCACACATGTGAGGTACTGGGTTTGATCCTCAGCACTGCATAAAAATATGTAAGTACTGTACCAACTACAACTAAAAAAATTTAAAGACTACTTTTACATCACAATTCAGCTTCATATTTGTCATTCAGCCACAGATAACACTATTCTGTTAAAATTGTTTTTTGTAATATATATACATGTATTAGTTTTATTTTTTCAGAGAACTTAGGACTGGGACAGTTAGACCTCATTAGTCCCTCTGAAATCATGTGCTTTTTTTTTTCCCTTTTTTGCGGTGCTCCTAATCAAACTCAGAGCCTCATGAATACAAGGCAAGGGCTCTGCCACTGAATTATACTTCTAACAATGTTATATATTGATTTTCAGTAAACAAAACACTGCCTAGACATCAGCACTGATTAAAGGAAGGGAAGTATCTCATTGGTCCTCATCAGAGGAAGGGAGTGGCCTGCCAGCTCCAGAGTGGCTGCAGGTGCTCGGACAGCCAGGTGCAGGGGCCTTCCTGAGAGAAGCTGGTTCAGAGTCACTCACGTCTTCATCCTGATGCGGATGGATCAGTTCTACAAGTCTCTGGATGATTTTTTCTTCATTAAGCCACTGAAAGGGAAAAATGCCTGTGAACTGCTCTGCTTACATCTAATTAAATGAAGGAAAGGTCCCTAGTGCAGTAAAACCCCAAATACCAGGTTACCTGGGATAGAGACTCTGACCAACACCCTGTTCCCCTGACCCAGGAAGAACCCAAAGAACACCATGCCTCAACTCCGGGTGTTTAAAGGGTGCACCACCATCTGTCTGTCTTAAGGCCAGCGTGTAGACACCCAAAATGAGCTGGAGCCTGGAGCCCAGCAAGACATGAAGCCTGAAAAGCACTGGGCCTTGCTGCTGGGGTCAGGACAAGCAGCGACGCTGTTGTGACTGCAGGGGTGCAGTGAGGGCGGGCAGTGGGCTGGGTGGCCGTGTGGGCACAGTGCGGCTGGTGCACCTATCCCTCCCACGCCCTTGGCACCATGTGCCTCGGTCTCCTTGTTTGGAGATGGCATGCTTTCCCTACAGGGCTGCTCTGCAAACTGAGTGAAGAGACCCGTGGGGGACGGTGGCAGAGTCACGCAGGCTTCCCAGCAGCTGGCACCAGGACCAATGTGGATGCTGTGCTCACTGTGTAGGCAGCCTCACAGACAAGTGAACCACCAGCCTAAAGTGAGGACACCCCACTTGGTGACACCTGATTCCCCAGGACAGAAAAGGGCAAAGCCCCCAAAGTCCACTTTATTTCACTTCAAATATGTAGTATGAACATAGTGTGCCAAACAAGAGCCAACCCAAGTTCCCCTTGGGGCTGGGAAACCCGCTCTTTCCAGGCTGACAGCCCCTTTCATGGTCTGTCCAAACCTGGAGCAGGTGATTGGTCTCTGTGGAGCCACCACCAGCTCATGCCTTCCTCATGGATCACCCAGGCTTAGAGCCCACACCTCACTGTGCACCAAAGTCTGGGTGGGCACCTCAGGGGCCAGGCCGAGAGGTGAGGACAGGCCTGGAGGCAAAGAGAGTTCACCTGGTTTCTATATATAGCAGGGGCCAGGGAAGAAACCTGCATGCTCTTTGCTCCTGAATGGGCTGACATAGGACAAAGTTTCAGGAAGGAGTCCTGATGGTGCTGGGGGGCTGGGCTGTTGGAGAGCTGGGGACGAGGCTCTTGGCACTGAGAGAGTGGGAGGGCAATCCCCCAGGCACTCACATGTAGGACCTCCTGGCGGAGCCCAGCTGGCTCCACACAGCTGACCAGGCGTAGCAGCAGGTCCATGAGGGCCGAGGTGCCCATGTGCTTCAGCACCAGGCTTATGAACTTGTCCTTCTTCTTCAAGAATGCAATCACCTGAAATCAAGCACATCTAGTAAGCAAGCAGGGCCACCCCTGATGACAAGGGGGTACTTCATCCAAGGACTTTCATGAGAAAGACTAATCTTCAATTACAGTGTGCATGAGGAGTGTGCTGTGCTTGGCTGCTATGCACAGCCACGTTGAAGTTTCCTAGAAACAAATGGTGCAGACGTGCTGACGGGGGAGGAAGGCCACTGGGGAGGAAGGATGGTGGTGCAGAGAGTGAGGGGGGAGGAAAGCCTGGAGTACAAACCCCAGGGAGCAGGAGTGTACAGGAGGACAGCTCCTGCAAGAACCCAGGAGTGGCTGAAGCGTTAGGAAAAAAGAGGTGGGTGGTGACCACTCTCAACAAGACGTGAATGTGGATAACAAAATGAGCCTCGGAGCAGGGAAACAGCACCCCAAATGAAGAGGTGCAGATCAGAGCAGCAGAGGACACATGTGAACTCTGGGCTCAGACCTGTCTGCCACGAATCTGCAAACTCAGCCCAGCCAGGGGTAGATAAGGGACATGGGCTGGAGGTGAGGTAGATCCAGCACTTTGCCCAAAAAGAAGGGCACTCGGGGAATCTCAGACTGTTGCTGAGAAGATGCTGTAGTTTGAATATGGTCCCAAACTTCAAATGCTATAAGTTCAATTCCCAAATTAACATATGTTAAGGTATTTGGGAGGAGATGGCAATAGGACAGTCCCTCTAGGTCATGAACGAGGGGTCAGATGGGGAAGATGGGGGCTGGTTCTGGTTGGAAAGGAAAGGAAATACAGTGTTAATACCCTCAGGACTCTTCCCCGCCTTCAACCAGTTGCCAAGGTCACCTGCCTCCAGGGGACTGTTCCTCCCTGCAAGAAGCTGTTACTGAGCAGACCTTGGGCAGCTCCCCTCCTGCCTGTACCTCTGGGCAGCCTCCTTCTGTCCTGGGATTACTCCACCTTTTGGGTCTTGTAGGCAGGATGGGAGGAAGAGAGGGCTTGAGAACAAAGGAAATCTGAAATGTATAAAAGGGGCAGGACACCCCCACTTCACTGGGACGCCAACTTGGAACCCTTCCTTTCCAGAGGAGCCTCGTTCTTCCCTCTCTCTGTTCTTTTTCTTTCTTTCTTTTTTTTGGTCTGGGGATTTAACCCAGGGGCACTTAACCACTGAACCACATCCCCAGCCCCATCTCTTTTTTACATTTTATTTAGAGACAGGGTCTTGTTGAGTTGCTAAGTGCCTTACTAAGCTGCTGAGGCTGGCTCCGGCCTCAGCCTCCCGAGTCGCTGGGAACACAGGTGTGTACTACCGCGTCCAGCTCTGTTCTTTTTTAAATTTTTTTTTTTTTTTTTGTAGTTGGACAGAATGCCTTTATTCTATTTTTTTTAAATTTTTATGTAGTGCTGAGGTTTGAACTCAGTGCCTCAGGCACACTAGGCAGGCACTCTTCCACTGAACCACAGCCCCTCTGTTCTATCCTTTAAATAAAACTTTTTGCTCTTGCCCTGGCATTTCTCTGGTGTTCAATCTTCAACACTAGGACAATGGGACTCAGATGGTTTCATCGGAGGTGGGCTTTGGGAGGTGACTGGAATTAGATGAAGTCATGAGGGGTCCATGCTTACAGCAGCAGGTTCATGAGGAGAAGAGACTGCTTTGTCTTGCCATGTGGTGCCCTGGGCCTCCTTTGGACTCTGCCCTTCCTGGATGCAGACCCTTGACTTTGAGCCTCCCAGTCTCCAGGAGAAATAAGTCTCCTTATAAATTACCTATGAATATTATTCAGCCATAAAGAATAATGAAATTATGGCATTTGCTGGTAAACAGATGGATCTGGAGAGTATCATGCTAAGTAAAATAAGTCAGACCCGAAAAACCAAAGGCTGAATTATCTCTCTGATATGTGGATGCCGACATACAATAAGGTGGGCAGGGCAGATGGAAGCTCAGTGGCTTAGACAGGGGAAATGAAGGGAAGGGAGAGGGGATAGGAATAGGAAAGACAGTAGAATGAATGGGACAGAACTTTACTGTGTTCACATATGAATAACAATCAGTGAAACTCCACATCATGTACAATCACAAGAATGGGATCCTAATTAGAATAAATTTTATTCCATGTGTGTATAATACGTCAAAATACACTTTTTTTTCCACTTGAGTACCAAGGATTGAACTCAGAGGGCACTTGACCAGTGAGCCACATCCCCAGTCCTATTTTGTATTTTATTTAGAAACAAGTTCTCACTGAGTTGCTTAGTTCCTTTTTAAAATTTAATTATTTATTTTTAGTTGTAGATAGACACATGCCTTTATATTTATTTATTTATTTTTATGGGGTGCTGAGGATCGAACCCAGTGCCTCACCTGCACTAGGCGAGTGCTCTATACTGAGCCACAATCCCAGCCCCAAGCGCCTTGTTTTTGCTGAGGCAGGCTTTGAACTTGTGATCCTCATGCCTCAGTCTCCTGAGCCACTGGGATTAGAGGCATGTGCCACCACGCCCAGCTGCACAAATAAAAAAAAATTAAAAATAAAAATAAATAAATTACCCACCTTGCAGCATTCGGTTACAACAACAGAAAAGGGACTCAGACAGATGAGTAAGAAGATGTGAGGAAGACTGAGGGGAAGAACAGAAAAAGGGGAAGATGACGAAGTGAGAGAGGAGGAAGGCATTCTGAAAAGGATGACTAAGTCTCTAGAAAGACTAAGAACAAAACAGAAGATTTAAGTAACAATATCAGGACTGCAACAGGGCCACATTATAGATCCTGCGAACAGAGGAATTCTGACGAGTGAATGAGAAGAGCTCTAAGCCAATCTGCACAAATTAAGCAGAATGGAGAATTTCCTTTAAGAAGAAAAAACACTTAACTGACGTGAAAAACCCTGAGTTACTCTGGAATACCAAAAGAAACAGAATTTACGACCAAGGCCACCAGAGCTTCTGGGCTCTCAGAGCCTGGTCAGAGACTTCGACCAAACACCTACAAAGATTCTTGCAGAGAACAGGCGTTGAGGGACCGTGGCCCACAGAATTGTACAACTGTATAAACCCTTGACTCTGAAATGTGACAAAGGCATTGTAAGAAAGGGAAGTTACAGGCCAATCTCACTGATGCCCACAGGTGCAAAATCTAGCAATACAAAAGAAAGAAAAAAATATATCACAGTCCAATTCGGTGTATTCCAGGAACACAATGTAGGTTAGCAATAGAAAACTAATTACCATAATTCAACTGTTAGAGTAGGGAAATCATAAAGTTGATAAGGTTGACTCAGTAGATAAAGACATTTGATAAATCTTAACAACCATTCATGTTATAAACTTTCAAAAACCTAGAAACGAAGAAAACCTCCTGAAGTTGTTTCTTGTTCTTGTTTTGCTTGGTTTTAGTGCTGGGAACTGAATCCAGGGCCTTGTGCATGTTAATCACAGACTCCACTACAGAGCTGAACCTGCAGACCTCTAAGCTGAATTAAAAAACAAAACTAGAGAGCTAGGTATGGTAGTGCACACCTATAATTCCAGCTACTCGGGAAGCTAAGGCAGGAGGATCACGAGCATGCGGACACTTGGGCAATATAGCAAGAACCTGCTACAAAAAAGAAAAACAAAAGAGAAAAGCGCAGCAGTGCTCCATGACAAGGACTCTAATAAACTATAAAATGTTGAAAGCTTTTCCTTAGGTAACAAGTAAAACAAGGAGGCCTATTCAATATTGTACTAATGTTCCAGCCAGTGCAATAAGGCAAGAAACAGAAGTAAAAAAAAAAAAAATATATATATATATATATATATATATACCATTTGTAAAGGATAAAAGTAATCATTGATAATAAATGACATGATGTTGTATATAACTAAAAAAGACTATAAAAGTAAATTATCAGAATTAATTTATTGATAATCACCAAATCTGGAATCAACTTAGGTATCCTTCAACGTGTGCATGGTTAAATAAACTTGTACTGCTACATCATGTAACTCTACACAGCAAGGAAAAGGAACAAACTGCGCTGGGCTATGGCTCAGGGGTATAACGTTGCCTACCATGTGCAAGGGCATTGATTAAATCCTCAACACAGAAAACAAAAGAGGGTAGACAAATCATTGATATACACAACAACGTGGATAAATGTACAGGAAATCATGCTGAGGGGAAAAAAGTGAATACCCAAAGAGAACATATTTCATGATCTGATTTAAATAACATTTTGAAGTGACAACATTTAAGAAGGGAATGGGGTGTGGCTGTAAAAGTGCACCACGAAGGACCTGTGGTTCCTGAACTTCCTGTGTCCTGTCTGTGATGGTGGCTGACGAAGGCCCGTCCACATGTGACAAGCTGCACAGAACATACACACACACAAAAATGAGTGTAAGTGAGACTTAAGTAATTCAAGTGAATCGGGAATTGCACCAACATCAGTCTTGGTTGTGATGCTGAACTATGTTTTTCTAAATGCCACCCCGGACAAAAGCTGGTCAAAGCACACAAAGGTTTTCTCCACATTATTTCATACAACTGCATGTGAACCTGCAATTTCTCCATAAAAATCCAATTTAAACATAACACAGTAATACAATGATCAACTTTTTTTTATAATTTTTAAAAATATTTATTTATTTATTTTTTAGTTCTTGGCGGATACAACATCTTTGTTGGTATGTGGTGCTGAGGATCGAACCCGGGCCGCACGCATGCCAGGCGAGCGTGCTACCGCTTGAGCCACATC